CTGTTTACAAACCCCATAAAGATTCTCTCTATCAGTTGCAATACAGATCTGGCCGACTTCGTCGCCTTCGTGCAGTTCAGTGTTAGTTTGAGGGAGAGAGTAATCCACACACACAAGTTCTTCTGACTCTGAACTTGCTACAGCGCTGTCTCTTTTCAGCATTACATCTCTGGGCTAGGGGTTCTGTCGTTGCCGATTAGATGGAAGTTGTATTTACTAACACTGAAAGGCACAAGCTAGTGCTTTGGTCAGTCTTCCAGTCTGTTCAACTTTGTCTGCAGATGGTTTTCATCTACCGTATTTTGAACAACTTTCCACAATTTTGTGTCGTTATCGAACAGTAACATAAAAGTCTAGGTCCCTGGCACAGTCGTTGCCGAAAAGAGAGAATAACGCGAAACCTAAAACTGAACCCAATGGGACGCCACTCATCACAGGTACCCTTGAGGACTGCTAGCGACCGAGTTGTACTCTTTAAGACCGTCAGGTCAACAGGGTTTGCATCCATTCGAAGGGGTTTCTGCGAAGTCTTGTGCTGCGCAGTTTATGCAGGAGGCGTTGGTGATGGACGCTCCCAAAGGCCCTTTTGAAGTCAGTATAGATGGCATGCACCATTTTGCCTTCGTCGCGTGTTTTGGTCTAGCGTTCAAGTTAGAAGAACAGATTCGTGAGACAGGACCTACCAATACGAAACCCATGATAGACATCGCAAAGGAGGCCATTCTGCTCAAGGAACTATATTAACGTTTTCTTAATGATTTTCTCCATGGTTTTGCAACAAATGGGGACAAGACCCATCGGCCTGTAATTATCAGCAGACGCTTGACTTCCACTCTTAAATAGCAGGGTGATTGTTGCTGACTTCAAGTCAGAGGATAGACCCCCATTATTAAATGACGCCTGGAATAATAAAGCTAGTGGCCTGAACATTTCAGAAACTAGCGCCTTCAACAGAATGCCGAAGACTTAATTGAGGGATACGCACTTTTAAATTTGCGGACCAGGTTATAAGTGTCGGTAGTATGCTCTGTTAGACAGAAGATGTCCTCCACGTACCGAGTTTAAGGATGTTATCGGTTAGATTCTTTTTCTTGCTCTTGCCCAGTTTGTTTATCCTATCAAAATCGGCTTAAGATTATTGGCTTCTGTTCCTTGCCTGCTTGCTATATCCCCCAATATGTCTATTTACCCACAAGGCCATCAACTCTGTCCTGGACTTGGCCTCACTCTTTCCGGACGGTGTATTTCCCGAAAAGCAGACGCAAGCGTCGGAGGCTGCCGCTTCGTCTGCTGACCAGGAGCTGTCTCCGGCAGGCGGAGTTTCGGCTGACCCT